GATAATAAAAAGGTATATGTGTGCAAAGCTGCTGCACGCCCCTAAAACTAAAACTAAAACTAAAAATGATAATAAAAAGGTATATGTGTGCAAAGCTGTGTGCTGCACGCCCCTAAAACTAAAACTAAAAATAATAATAAAAAAGAATATGTGTGCAAAGCTGTGTGCTGCACGCTTCTAAAACTAAAACTAAAACTAAAAATAATAATAAAAAAGAATATGTGTGCAAAGCTGTGTACTGCACGCCCCTAAAACTAAAACTAAAAATAATAATAAAAAAGAGTGTGTGTGCAAAGCTCTGTGCTGTACGCCCCTAAAACTAAAACTAAAACAAAAAATGATAATAAAAAGGTATATATGTGCAAAGCTGTGTACTGCACGCCCCTAAAACTAAAACTAAAACTAAAAATGATAATAAAAAGGTATATATGTGCAAAGCTGTGTACTGCACGCCCCTAAAACTAAAACTAAAACTAAAAATGATAATAAAAAGGTATATGTGTGCAAAGCTGTGTGCTGCACGCCCCTAAAACTAAAACTAAAACTAAAAATGATAATAAAAAGATATATGTGTGCAAAGCTGTGTGCTGCACGCCCTTAAAACTAAAACTAAAAATAATAATAAAAAAGAATATGTGTGCAAAGCTGTGTACTGCACGCCCCTAAAACTAAAACTAAAAATAATAATAAAAAAGAGTGTGTGTGCAAAGCTCTGTGCTCTACGCCCCTAAAACTAAAACTAAAACTAAAAATGATAATAAAAAGGTATATGTGTGCAAAGCTGTGTGCTGCACGCCCCTAAAACTTAAACTAAAACTAAAAATAATAATAAAAAAGTATATGTGTGCAAAGCTGTGTGCTGCGCGCACTTACAACTAAAAATAAACCTGAAAATAACAATAAAATGTATATGTGTGCAAAGCTGTGTCCCCCGGTGAGTAGGGGGTATATAGTTAGTTTACTTACTTCCTCCACCAGCAGGAGGTGCATGCCCTCCAATGGTGGTTTCTCCCTTGAACATCTACTGTCAGATGGAATTGGGAGATGCTGTGTGTCTTGTTTCTTCTTCCTACTTCTTCTTTGAGTTACAGCCCATTCTTGTGTGATGTGTAGAGTGTTGTTTGCTTTGTAGAGTGTTGTGTGGGGTGCAGAGTGTTGTGTGGTGTGTGTAGTGTTGTTTGATGTGTAGAGTGTTGAGTGTTAGCTTAGCGGGCGACGCGTTAACCGTAAGATCGGCCGTAGCTTAGCGTTAGGAAGGGGCTGCGCCCGGCCCCGTCTTAGGCGGTAGATCAGGCCATAGTTTAACTTTGCGTTAGGTAGTTAGTCCGGCCTGTGGGACGCCCGTAGTGGCTAGGGTTAGTAGGGGCGTCAGCTAGATAGATAGCATTGTTAGGCCGTAGTTAGGGTTAGGCGGGGATCAAGGACTGGTGAAGGGTCTCATTGAAAAGATGAGAAATGCCCAAGCGTCTCATATAGCCTCTCCCAGTCTAGCCAACCACACCTACCCGTGGTGATTCCTGTGCGGACTGACGTGGCTCTGGCGAATTAGCGCTAATTAAATAATTAGTGGTGGGCCGTTAGCTTAGTTGTTAGGTAGTTGGGATGTAACCTGATAGATAGTCTTTAGGAATAATAGTCTAAAAGTATCTATATGTGGAAAGCTGTGTGCTGCCCACCCCCGTGTCCCCCGGTGAGTAGGGGGTATATAAGTTTACTCACTGCCTCCACCAGCAGGATGTGCATGCCCTCCAATGGTCGCTTTTCCTTTGGACATCTACTGTCAGATGGAATTGGAAGAAGCTGTGTGTGTCTTGTTTGTATAGTATAAGGTTTTACAGCGCTCGCAACTGCTAAGGTCATATGAGCGCGCGAAACACAAGTTGTTCACTTTTGCAAAAGTTCACTTCACGACTGGTTAACTAATTTACTTTAAAATGCTAAAAAGTTAAAATGTTTAAATTCGGTGTAAATACATTTGTGATTTAGAACAACTCTTTTAAGTAACAATAACAATTTTAAATAATATCAAATTCACTCTACAACTCGCCATAAAATTTTTAATTCTGCTGGGAACAACGACGGAAAAAATATCCTGCAATTTCTTGCATTTATAATATTTCCTTCGGATCTCTCCAAAGTCTAGACATTCTGTTTAAATGCGTCTAATGGCAAAATCTGTGTCGCATCCGACACAGAACGGCTTCTCATCTCCCTGTAGGAGGTATTTGTGGGTCAGGGCCGTGTGTCCGATGCGCAATCGAGTAAAAATGACTTCGTCTCTTCTGGAGAGGTCCGAAGGATTTCGCTGTTCTTGTTTGGGTTTTATTTCATATAGTTTATTATTTTTCTGGTTTTCCCAGTGGCTCTCCCACAGATTGGAGGTGTACTTTTTGACTCTATTTCTAAAGTCAGTCTGTGGGAGAGTGTTTGTCGTTGATCCCAGCAGAAGGGATGAAGCTTTCTTCGCCAGGTCGTCTACCTGCTCGTTACCTCAGATGCCCACATGGCTGGGTATCCATGTGGACATGATGTTTTTTCCTCTTTCGGATAGTGTATGGATTTTCTGTTGTAGGCTAACTATTTTTGGGTGTAAGAGTGTGTAGTTTGTGAGTGAGGTGATGCAAGACAGAGAGTCAGAAAGGATAAGGAAAGATTTGTTAGGAGAATTTTCTACAGAGTCCAGTGCCATGTCAATGGCAGTGGCCTCCGCAGTGAAAATGGAGGCTTCAGGATGGAGTCTCCTCTGGTGTGTACTTTTTTGGAGCCATCTGTGAAGATGAGCTCCGCACCGGGGTATTTATCTATTAGTCTTTTGTATTCTGCTTGAAAAGTTTTGGTGTTTGTGCTTTGTTTGTTGTGTGTGGTCAGCTGTAAGTCTACTTTTGCCTTGGTGAGGTGCCACGGCGGGAGGTCGTGGAAAAGAATTTGTTGGATGTCTTGTTTGGAAAAGGATTCTGAGGCCGAAGGGTTTGATGAGTTCTTCGTTGTTTTGGAATTTAGGGTTTCTGGATTTGTTTTAAAAATGCTGTTGTGCGCTGGATTTTCCGGTGTTGAGCTCTGTTTAACTGCGTATTGTAGTGAGAGTTGTGTGCGTCTGAGTGAGAGTGGTAGTATGTTGGCCTCGGCCTGGAGGCTCTCCACCGGAGAAGTGCGGAAAGCCCCCAGAGCGAGGCGGAGTCCTTGGTTCTGTATTGAACATTTACTGTCACATGGAATTGGGAGATGCTGTGTGTCTTGTTTCTTCTTGTTTTCCTTTTTAGGATGACCCAAGGATTGTTCTCATCAGCCGTGAGACAATGAACGATGTGGTGTAAACGCACCTTAAGAATAGAACAATATGTAGTGTGAACACACCTTAATAATTATTGTGACGTAGGCCTAAGGGACGTATCACGTGACTGTGATTTCGTGCAAGCTGCAGGAAATCTGAAGGTCACTCTCTCACTGAAGCCAAAACGAGTAACATCGGCTAACGAAGAACTAGCAGACGACCAGCAGGTGGGGCCCCACCAACATCAACTATCATCCAGATCTACTACTCCAAGACTCAAGTAAGTCGTAACATAACAAACGACGAGTCAGGAGAGAGATCCCGCCCAAAAGGTACTTCTCCTTGCAATATATCTTCTGACACTCCTACTCTAAAAAACGAGGCCAATGGAAAGAAATTCTGTATGTATCACTAACATATACAAATTATTGTGCCCATATCACTATCCACTATATACTGAGAAAGGAATTTCCTTCATCATCAGAAACAGAAACTTGTTTTCATCTTCGGGATTCAAAAACTGACGAGTCATGAGAGATGGTCTGCTCCAAAAGGTATTTCTCTTTGCAATATTATCTTCCTCTACTCCTAAAACATGAGTCTCATATTCAAACTTTTTTTCATTGATTGTGACTTGAAAATTACAAATATATGTTCATTGGTGGCTCTGGCTTTAAATTATAAGTGTAATGTTGAAATACATGCCTTCTCAAAAACATGCTCGGCTATGACTTTAAAACATAAGTGTAATTTTCACACGTATAGAGCAGTCTCAAAACATGCACTTGGTCCATTTAAAACCTACCATTTACTACTGCTGTACTGTCAGACAGTGACCTCTTTTATTCTCTTAAAATAAAAAAAACAATCAATATTGATGAAAAAGAATGTTCTATAAGGACGTATGTCTTCATTACCAGGGGCCCCTACATCACCAGAGGACCATCTACAGCACCAAAAGACGGCTTTCAGAACTGGAAGACCATCTAGAGAACAGAGGATGGCCCACAGGGACAGAGGACGCCTTCCGGCCCAGAGGTCTGCCTATGACAAATAATGATCAGCCTCACAAGGTATTTGTCTTTCAAACATGACTTGCGATGTTACTCACTGAAAGTAGACGTGTTCAATTAAACAGATGCGCAAACAAAATGATCTTTTTTTAATTACTGACCCAAGAAAGATATTTGATTTGATAACGGTGTAGACAAAAAATTCCAGATTTTTAAGATGACTGTACATTGTATTAAAAAACACAAAACAAATTTCATGCACATTTGTCCTTCCTTAAAAAAGGCCGCTGTAAAGAAAATCTGTATGTATCACAAACTTAAACAATTATTGTGCACATATCACTATCCATTATATATATAGGCTTTCAAAACCCTTTATTTTGCTAGGTGATTTCAATGCCCACAGCCCCCTTTGGGGAGACAAACCTACAGACCAGAAAGGAAAAATAATAGAAAA